TATATTTTTTAAGAATATTTTTTCAAGGTCCAGTTTTTTAAGATAATTTTCGAAGGGCATCAGTCCCCTTTTCTTCAAAATGTTTTTAAAAAACCTTGGATTTTTTAAAAATATTTTTTAAAGACCGCCAAAGACCTTAAATATTTTAAGTACATTTGTTAGGTACACCTCCTCAACAATGACAGATTTTTAACGAGTAGTTTCTTATTGACCAGCAATCTTCGGATTTTTTTTAGGATAATTTTCAAGGTTCACCAGTGAGCTAGGAATGTTAAGAATATTTTTCCGAAGTCCATCAAAGTATTGTTTGAGACCTTGTATTGTTTGAGAATATTTTTCATGGATCAATAGATTTTTTTTAAATATATTTTATCAAGGTCAAGCTTTTTAAGATAATTTTTTCGAAGGACACCAGACCCCTTTTCTTCAAAATATTTTTACAAGACCCTGGATTTTTTAAAAATATTTTTCAAAGACCGGCAAAGACCTTGAAATTTCAATACATTTATTAGGTACACCACCTCAACAATGGCAGATTTTTAATGAGTATTTTCTTAACTACCAGCAATTTTCGGATTTTTTAAGATAATTTTCAGGGTTCGCCAGTGAGCTGGGAATGTTAAAAATATTTTTCCGAGGTCCATCAAAATCTTTTGATTTTTTTTTAAATTTGTTCTTTTGAATCCTCGAGAGACGTTTGATTTTTTTTTAAAACAACAACAAGCCCTAGCTTTTTGAGATAATTTTTTCGAAGTCCACCAGTACCAATTTCTTCAAAATATTTTTACAAGGCCTTGGATTTTTTAAAAATATTTTTCAAAGACCTAGAATATTTTGAGTTGAATGACGAGTATTTTTTTAATGACCAGCAATCTTCGGATTTTTTTGAAGATAATTTCCAGTGTTTGCCAGTGAGCTGGGAATGTTAAGAATATTTTTCCGAGGTCCATCAAAGACATTTAAATTTCTTGTTCTAGATCCCCGAGAGTACTTTGATTTTTAAGAATATTTTTTGAGATCTTGGTTTCTTCGAGAATATTTTTTCATGGATCAATGGATTTTTTTAAAATATATTTCATCTAGGTCCAGCAGGGACCTTAGCTTTTTAAAGATAATTTTTTCGAAGGGCACTAGTCCCCCTTTCTCCAAAATGTTTTTACAAGACCTTGGATTTTTAAAAAAAAAAATTCAAAGACCGGCAAATACCTTGAATATTTTAAGTACATTTGTTAAGTACGCCTCCTCAACAATGGCAGGTTTTTAACGAGTACTTTCTTATCGACCAGCAATCTTCGGATTTTCTAAGAATATTTTTTTTTAAGAATAATTTCCAGTGCCGACCAGAGTCCTGGGAATGTTAAAAATATCAAAAGACATTTGATTTTTTAAATTCTCTCCTCTAGATCCTTTGATTTTTTAAGACTATTTTTTGAGACCTTGGATTGTTCCAGAATATTTTTTGAAGGATCAATCGATTTTTAAGTATAGTTTTTCAATGCCCAGCTGGCTTTTTCAGATAATTTTTTCGAAGTCCACCACTCCCAATTTTTTCAAAATATTTTTCGAGACCTTGGATTTTAAAAATAATTTTCGCCAAGGTCCGCAAATGTATGAATATTTAAGTACTTCATTAGGTACACCCCATCAACAATGGCAGATTGTTAACGAGTATTTTCTTAACAACCAGCTATCTTCGGATTTCCTAGGAATAATTTTCAGGGGCTACCAGAGACCTGGGAATGTTAAAAATATTTTTCTGAGGTACATCAAAATATTTTAAATTTTTTAAATTTGTTCTTTTGCATCCACGAGAGACCTTGGATTTTTCGAGAATATTTTTTCAAGAACCAATAGATTTTTAAGTATATTTTTTCAAGGTCCAGCGGGTACCTTAGTTTTTTAAGATAATTTTTTAAAAAAAATTTTTCGAGACCTTGGATTTTTTAGAAATATTTTTTTCAATGTCCGCCCAAGACCTTGGATATTTTAAGTACTTTATTAGGTATACAGATTTTCAACGAGTAGTTTCTTAACGACCAGCAATCTTCGGATTTTTTAGGATAATTTTCATTGTTCACCAGAGACCTGGGAATGTTAAAAATAAGTTTTCAAGGTCATTTGTCAATTTTTTAAATTTGTTCTTCAAGATCCACGAGAGACATTTGATGTTTTCAGAAAATTATTTTGAGACCTTGGATGGGTCGAGCATATTTTTTCAAGGATCAATATTTTACTAAACCTGGGAATTTAAAAAAAATAATTTTTCCAGGGCTGCCCAATTTTTTTAAGAATATGTTAGGAGAATATTTTTCAGGCTCCACCAGAGACCTGGGATTATGCAAAAAAATGTTTTCCCATCCAAGACTTAAATTTTTCTTCTAGAACCACGAGAGAACTTTAATTTTTTTTTAAGAATATTTTTTGTGACCATGGATTTTTTGCGAATTTTCAAGGCCTAGTAGAATATATATATATTTTTTTTGTTTTAGAAGATATTTTAAAACTCCCTTTATTTTTACATTATCTTTTGAAAGGCATTTTTATTGATAAAGGGTTCTCTGGAAGGTTTTGACATTTCAAGGGGTCGACATCTACAATTCAATTTTTGGACTTTTTTAATTTCCGAAATTTTATACATCCTAGCGCTGTTCGTCTGTCTGACTGGATGGTGTGCGAAACTTGGTAAATCGTAATATTATTGTTAAACTTAGATCGAGTTTGAAGATGGGCAATAACGGTCCACTCATTCTGGTACTTTCCCCACAAAAGTTCGAAATTAAAAAAAAAATACTGCACAGAAAAGAGAACCCAATTTTGTTCCAATTTTGCAAATCCTAATATCTGCATAAGTTCTATGTCAGATGCAAAAATTGGCAATATCGGTCCACTCCATCAAGTACCTCCCCCACAAAGGGTGTAAATTTTGATGAATTAAAAGTCTTATAAAATGTGATGTAAGAGTCCGATTGTTTTCAAATTACACACATAACAATATTTTTATTAACCAAGGTCTGGTGTGAAGATGGAATATATTGGTCGAGTCCTCCTGGTAACTCCCCCACAAAGGGTCAAAATTTTGAATATCCATGAAGTTCATAAAACTCGAAATTAACATGCGATTCCATTCAGACTTGGCACATCTCTATATTTCTATCAACATAAGATCTGTTGTAAAGATAGTAGAGATCGGACCATTCCTTCCGGTACCTCTCCCACAAAGGGTCCAAATTTTGAATAACAGAAAGAGATATTAAATGCGAAATAAGCATCCGGTTCTCTCGGTATCTTACACATCCCATTATTTCAAAAGATTCGATAGATCGGTCAACCTATTCTGGTACCTCACCAACAAAGGGTCAATTGTATAATTGTACGAAAAGTACTAAATGGTACTAAATTTCGTATTGGGTGAAGGGATAGGGATACAATTTTTGAATTTTGAAATTTGGATTACTGATTGTATTCGTGTTTGAGGTGTGGCGGTTGGTCGGAAATGCGTCCTATATTTGTACGAAAATTACTAAATGGGACTAAATTTGGTGATAGGGCTGAAATCCTGAAATTTGATATAGATGTCGCTGTTGGTGTCTAGGGTTACAAATGTGGTACTAAATTCGGTATTAGGTGAAGGGGTGGAGATAAAATTTTTAAATTTGCGTATGCGTGTTTGAGATTTGACGGTGATTTGGAAATGCGTCCTATATTTGTACGAAAAGTACTAAATAGTACTACATTTGGTATTTTCGTGAAAGGATAGGGTGGAATCCTTAAATTTGTTATTGAGGCCTCTTCTGCTATCTGGAATTGAGATATTGAGGTGGTTTTGGAAATTTGTACTGTAATTGTACGAAAAGTACTAAATTTAGTATTTGGTAGAGGAATATAGCTGAAATCCTGAAATTTGATATGAATGTCACTGTTGTTGTCTCCGGCTGAGAGAAGGAACTGGCTTTGGATTTGCGTACAATAATTGTACTTACAAAGGTCTGAAACGAATTCTTGAAACGAATCTTAAGTTTTGAGCTGAATTTTTTTCTGACGAATTTTTAGCGGACATTTTTTAAATTTCTTTGTTAAATTTTTTTTTTAATCCAGCTTTTTTCTATTTCTTTTCCTTTCCTTGCAGGGGGATAAAGTCCGTAGCGAAGGTTTGAAAAGAAAATCAAAACGTTCGCGAAGGCGTTTAAAAGTCAGACGAAGAAACTGCAAGTTTAAGAAGGTCAAAACAATAAACAACAACAATCAACAACATCCAGCAAGGAAGTAGCAAAGACAACTAACGTATTCCGAAGATACGCAAAGAAAACCAAACAAAGAAAAAGAGAGAGAGAGAGAGAAGGAACGGATAAATCCTGAGAAAAAAATTGATTCAAATCCATATCAGAAGCCGCAGCAGCAGCAGTTTTCAAAGAAAAGAAAATAAAAAATAGAAACGAAAACGCCAACGAAAACCATCATCACTCCTACTTTTTCGTCGTTGAATCCTTTATCCTCCTCATCAATAATAATAAAAACAACAACAACAACATTACAAAACATAGAACAGGGATCTTAATTGTAAAAAAAGCCAGAAGAATAAGAAGAAGAAAACAAAAGAAAAGTGAATATTTTTTGAAATAATTTTTTTCTAAAAAAAACAAAACAAAACAAGAACAACAAAAATTTGTCTTAAAATTTTTTTGTGATAATTTTTAAGCTTACAACAAAAACAAAACAAAAAACAACAAGTTTAACTTATCCTACGAACTTAAAAACAAAATTATATAATATTCAAGTACTTAAAAAAATTGCTTAAAAATCTTTGTAAAAAAGAAACGCTTTACTTAAAAATTTTTTTAAATTTTGAAAAGCAAAAAAAAAAAAAAAATTGAATTGGAAAAAAAAAAACATAACAAAAAATATCTTCCGTTAGGGTATAGCAAGAAATTGTAAAGCAAGACCGTCTTTAAAAAAATTATTTATTTAAAAAAAACCCATTTTGTAAAAATCCCCATTAATTTTTTTGCTAAAAAATAATTTTTTTTTAACAAAAACCTGAGATAACCTCATAATATTTTCTAAAAGACAACTCTAAACTTAACGACGATAAAAACGCTACAAACCTCCTTTTTTTTAAACAAAAAAAAATTAAATTTTCCGTTCTTCTTTTGTAATTCAGTTTTTCTGAGAGAAAAAAGAGTCCAAAAGTCTTAACTTGAAAAATTAAAAAAAAAATAATTACTTAAATTATAATTATAAACAATTTCTACTATACGAATTATATACTTAACAACTTACCTATCTATATATAGAGAGAAAACAAGAGACAGCAATTCTTTAAACAAAAGTCCAATTTTTTCCGGTGTATTTGTATAGAATTCTATTTTGAGAAAAAAAGAAAAAAAAAAACAATAACAACAAATAAGTTTGTAAAAGTTTACATTTTTATTACAACAAAAAGAAAAACAACACACACATTTTTTATTTGTTTATAATTATTGTAATTATTATTATTATATAAGAGAGCAAATTGTATTTTGATATTAATGAGCAACATGCGTCAAAAGGATTTACGCCCCGCACCAGCTCTTATTGAGTTCAAGGGAATGAAGTTCCTAATCACTGATCGGCCATCAGATGTTACCATACATCATTATATTATGGTGAGTAGGTTGGGAAATAGATTCGAAATCAAACAACTAATCTTCCCCCCCTTCCCTTTGCAGGAATTAAAGAAAAACAATGTGAATACTGTGGTTCGCGTCTGCGAGCCCAGCTACAACACCGACGAATTGGAAGCACAAGGCATCACCGTTAAAGATTTAGCATTCGAAGATGGTACCTTCCCGCCGCAGAATGTTGTTGACGAATGGTTTGAGATTTTGAAACAAAAGTGAGTTTCTTAGGTTTATGGCCAAAAATTGTTCTTTGTTTTCAAATTCCTTTCAATATTTTTTATTTTTGTTAAAACTTGCATACCATTTGGCTTTGTTTTTTCGGGAAAAACGCCTAGACCGGTTGTCCGATAACATGTCTTTGTAAAAATTTGAAATATGTCATCACCCATATTTTTGTATTTCAATTTTGTAAATATTTCTTTGTTTTTGAATTTTTGTGTCAATAACCCTTTTGAGTTAGAAATTTAGAAAAAAAGTAAGGAGAAGTCCAAATTTGGGCGGGGTCGACTATATGATATCCTACACCACTATGCGTATTTAGTAATGCTCCCATAACATAAAATTGTATTTTGTCAATTTTATAAACTTAGATCGTACCAACTATGAACCTTTAGAATGCCATTGTGGCTTTAGAGTAGTCACAATTTGGAAACTATACCCAAATCTGAAACGATTTTGAACAATTTTGACGTAGGTTTTTGTACCTCCCCTAGTGCCAAAAAACATTTCTGTATAGTGCATGAAAGGATTACAATAAAAAACAACTTTGAATTCCCTCCACCATTTGGAACGAATTTGGAAATTTTCAAAAAATATAATCCTCAAAACATTCTGTTAAAATTTTAAAAATACCAAATATAGCCGTTATATTGGGATCTATACGACGTGGGCCTACATAGGCTTTGTTTGTCATAAGCCATTACCATATTCAGATCCGAAACTTGAAATAAACGGTGAATAATGTAGCTAAAATCATCAAAATATCGTATATAGGGAGGTACCGTTATATCGGAGCTGTGCGAAGACCTGGACCTGCATAGACAATTTTCTGTCACAGTCTGTAGCATCCATTACGAACTTCAAATACCACATCTCAAACAATTTCGGTGGGTATTGTACCTAAAATGGTCAAAAACAAAGTTAATATACCCTCCATGGTATGGTGGAGGGTATAAAAATATCTATTGAAGCAATAGATATACCGGACCGAGTTTCATCAAATCGTAAATATCGGTTGAATATGAAAAAATCCATTCAATTTGGGCTGATATTAAATATATGTTGAGCAATAACCGTAAAATCGGATGAAGATGTATATCGAAGCTACAAAAAAATCTGAACCGATATCGATAACATTTGGCAGGGGTATTTTTGAGCCGTAACTGATGTCCGTTACCAAACATCATTGATGTGGAGGGCACATTACGCATGTGAGGGACTTAAAATCCCTAATCGGACAAAACATATATATGAGAGCTATAGCTATATCTGAACCGATTTTCAGATATAGTTTCTAGGATGAATTCAGACGGAATTACCAAAATTCAGTTCATTTGGACTGATATTAGGTATTTGCTGCACGAAAAATCTGAAATCGGATAAAGATATATATGGGAGTTATATCTAACCCTGAACCGATCTCGACAAAATTTTTAAACACTTATTTCTGAGCTGTATCTGATAGTTGGTATTAAAGATTACTGTTGTGGAGGGAATATTACGCATGTGAGGAACTTAAAATCCCTAATCGGATGAAACATATATATGGGAGCTATATCTATATCTGAACCAATTTTCTCTAAATTTAATGTACCAGCTTCCTCACTTAATTCGGTCGGATGTACCAAATTTCAGGTCATTTGGACTGATATTAGCCATTTGGTGCACAATTAACCTGATATCGGATAATGATATATATGGGAACTACTTCCAAATCTGCACCGATCTCTATAAAATTTGACAGAGGTATTTTTGAGCTCCATAAGTTTTCTGGTACCAAATATGAAGGATTTAAATCCCCATTTCGAATAAAACATACCATGCTAGCTATGGAGCTATGGATATATTTGCAAAGATTATCACCAAATTTGCAGAACTTGTTTCTAGTATAAATTCATTCGAATTTGCCAAAATTCAGTTAATTTGGGCTGATAGTGCCCATTTGGTGCACAATTTACCAGAAATCGATTGAAGATATGCAGAGTGAGATAAAAAAACTGAAACAAAGTCAAAAGCGATAATTTTTAAATTTTTTTTTAAATTTTTGAATGAAACCAAAAAATGTCGGAAATAAATAATTTTAGAATAAGTTTAGATTTATTCGAATTGGTCACTTTTCGGCACGAATTATGACCTTCAAACGGCCAATGAAACCGTCACACGCTGTCCGAATGTTGCTCTGCGGTATTTTGGCCCATTCCCGGCGAAGCGCTTGCTTGGTCTTTTTAAGTACCAACCTTGCTTTCCAAAATACTCCGACACATTAGTCCAACCGATTGGTATCCGGAGATTTTGGTGGCCATTGTGCGCTGGAAATGACTTCCTTACGTCATTTTGTAACCATTCTTGGGTGGCGGTGGCATGCTGAGTGCCATGGTGCTGAGTCCTGTTGGAATGTTCAAGGTCTGCGGCCAAAATGTTTTGCGTGCCCAAGGTTTTAATTCACCCTCCAGAATATTTTCGCGATAATATTCTGCATTTATTCTGAAGCCACGGTCGATTAATACTAGCGGAGAGCAACCATCGGTTGTTATGGCGGCCCACACCATCACCATGGCCGACGCTTGAGTTCTGGTGGCCAACCGAAGGTGCACATTTTCAGCTGACCTCTTTGGCAAGTAAACACGATCATTTTGTTTGTTTACAAACTGCTGGACAACGAATGTTTTCTCATCGGAGACGGAGAAAACCAAATTCGGCAGTTCACCACTTTCCGCCAAGCGAAGTAACTCTTGAGCTCTTTTGAGTCTATTTTCCTTTCTCTTGCGGTGTAAGTTTTTGCACTTTTTGGAATTGGAATTTCGATGGCTTTACCCCGAGCTAATTTTTCAATATTTGCCGAATGGAATATTGCGATATGTTCAGCTAACGAGCCATTTTTCGGCCACTTCGACGCGGGTTTCGATCAAGTCGCTCCTTTACTTTTCGAACCATTTCTGCTGATGTTGATGTTTTCTTCCGTCGACTTCTATGACGTCCGGCTACGCTCCAGTATCATGGTAACGAGCGATGGTAGGAGACACAAAAGATTTATTCACATTTAAATTCTGGAGTGCCCTAACGATAGCAACTTTTCGTTTTCCAGCCAAATATAAAGAAATCACATTATCACGCTTGAATTCCATCCCGAATAACTTTTTTCTGGAAACTTCTCACCAAAATGCCTTTGTACGCTTGTAAACAATATAATCATCTGTCACTGGAATAATTTTTACACCTGTCGGACGAGTGGCTTAGAAATGACAGCAGTCTGAATTTGGTTGTAGTTTTTTCATCTCACCATGTATATAGCTATAGCTGAACCGATATAGTTATATCTGAACCGATTTTTCTCAAATTTGATGTACTTGTCTTCTACACTGAATTCGGTTGGATGTGTCAAAATACAGGTCATATGGATTGACCATTTGGTGCACAATTAATCCGAAATCGCTTGATCATATATACGGGAGCTCTATCTAAATTTTAATCGATTCTCACCATTTTCAATAAGTTTTTCCAAACATTGTTTGGGAAATTTCATCTCAGTCGGAAAAATAAATGCGACCTGCATTTTGCTCAAAAAAATACATGGACAGACGGAAGGACGGAAAGACAGATAGAAATGCATAAATCGACTCAGAAAGCGATTCTATGAAGATCCTCAAAATTAACTATGGGGCTTTTTCAAAATGTCTGATACAAAAATTACCTCAAAAAAAAAAAAAAAAAAAAAAAAAATCGCGACCCTAGCTTCAGTCGAATTTTTAAAAATATTCTTAAATTTTTGTTGTTTTAAATTATTTCCATTATTTTAAAATGGTTGATATGTAATCATTTTAATACGATCTGTAATATGGTTTCAATTATGTCACCACACAACACACTCCCCTTTTTTAATAAAAAAAAAATTTTCCCCTATCCGAAAACAAATCAATATTTCATCAACTGATTATTGCATGAAATTTTGAAAATAAATTCCAAAAAAAAAAAAAAAAAAAAATTCGGTTGCTAAGTGCGATAAATAATCTCTGGCGATAGGTGTTTATTAAAAAAAATGCTTTTTATTATTATTGTTGTTTAATAGCCCTGTGTCCATTCTGCTTGCTTTTCTACTCAATGTGCCAGCCCTTATCATCATCATCGTCTTCGTAAAATACTAAAACGCTTTCCAAAAGACAATCACAGTCCTACACCTTGTTGTGTATACGGTATTTAGATAATGTGTTGTCTTCCACTTTTGTGGATACAATCATTTCCACTTTCAGAAAAGAAAAAAATATATATTCCAATTCAATTTCCGATAAGACATAAAAAATATTTCAAGTGTCAGATTAACCTTATCAGAAAAGGCCTTGAGAAGTGTAGTGATGTACTTTGGACAAGGCGATATTAAATTTTCATTAAACATACCATTGACCTCCAATTAAAAAGATCAAAATGAAAGGTCCGATGGGATTCTATTTAAAGAAGATGGGGTTATATTTAAAGGTCTTCAAACCGTAGGCAATTATATGCTTGACTCCGATCTGATAATCTTTAAATTATACTCCTCGGTAAGTTTTTACAAAAATGTTGGCGGTATTATTACCGACCATAAAAATCATGAGAAACTATTTAAAAAAAAAAAAAAAAAAAAACTATATTTAAAAAAGTTTTGTAATTGTTCAAGAAAACTTTTTTGAAAGACTACTTTAATAATCGACGCTGCTGGTTGTTGTAAAAAGTGTTAAGACACTTTCTCAAAAGAAACCTTAAAATATGGCGCTGATAGTCATTGTTGTGAAAAACTATTTGAGAACAATTTTTAAAAAGAAAGATTTCTGGTTTGTTGGATCTTTAAAAATTGGGAATTAAATACTTCATTGAAAAAAAAAAAAAAAAAATAATTTCGAACAAACCACGACTAGTGGTCCTTAAACATATTTTTAAAAAAGTTCTCGGCTGAAAGTCATTTAGAAAAAAATATTAAAAAATACCGTCAAATAGCACCTGAAAAAATATTTTTCTTACAATGGTGGTCTTAGAAAAAAAAAAAAAAATTCAAACAATTCAAGGATGATGGTTTTTAAGAAAAATATCTTCAAATGTGTACATGACGGTTGGCCCTTGAACAAATATTTTTAAAAAAGTCTATGATATGTATGACATCTTGATGTGGCAATTTATTTTTTTTTTTTAAACACTAGAGGTCCTGTAGTAATAGTTTTTTATAACAATCACGATGAATGGTCCTTGAAAAATAATATTTATTAGCAAATTCTTAAGAGTTGGATAAATGTTTTTAAAAAAGAATCCAATTAGAGATGGTCCTTGAAAATTATTCTTTAATAAATTTGAAAACGCTTTTTAAAAAAATTCTGAACGGAACGGTACAAATTTTTTTTATTTAAACAATCCACAAAGGATGGTCCTAAAAATATGGTGGTTCATGGACTTTTTTTAAATTCCTGACGGATGGATTTTCAATAAATAATTCTTTAAAATCACAATATACCGTTTTATAAAAAAGCGTTTTTAAAAATCAAAGGGGTGTGTATTTTGGAAAATAAATAAAATTATATTGAAAAAAAAAATACTAATTAAAAAAAATTAAAAATATTTACCAAAAAAAAAAAAAAAAATAATAATAATAATAATAATAATAATAATAATAATAATAATAATAATAATAATAATAATAATAATAATAATAATAATAATAATAATAATAATAATAATAATAATAATAATAATAATAATAATAATAATAATAATAATAATAATAATAATAATAATAATAATAATAATAATAATAATAATAACAATAATAATAATAATAATAATAATAATAATAATAACAATAATAATAATAATAATAATAATAATAATAATAATAATAATAATAATAATAATAATAATAATAATAATAATAATAACAATAATAATAATAATAATAATAATAATAATAATAATAATAATAATAATAATAATAATAATAATAATAATAATAATAATAACAATAATAATAATAATAATAATAATATTAATAATAATAATAATAATAATAATAATAATAATAATAATAATAATAATAATAATAATAATAATAATAATAATAATAATAATAATAATAATAATAATAATAATAATAATAATAATAATAATAATAATAATAATAATAATAATAATAATAGTAATAATAATAATAATAAAACAAAAAAGCTGTAAGTTCGGAGGGGCCGAACTTTGAATACCCCATTTAGAACGAATATGGCAAATTAAAAAATCCGTTTCAAATTCTGTTAAAATCTTAAAAATAGCGTATGTAGTTATATTAGTAGTACCCATTACGAACTTCAAATACGAAATTTGAAATAATTCCGATGATTAATGTCGCTAAAATCATAAAAATACCGAATATCGGGAGGTACCATTATATGAGGGCTATACCACAACGTGGACCTACAAGGCCCATTTTCAATATCAAAAGTCCTGCAGACCTAATATACGTTTGAGTAAAATGTTATTAACCTCTACTTCATTTCGTTCGGAAGCTAGAGTGATTTCCACAGACGGAGGGACATTGCTAAATCGACATAGAATTTTATGTCGATCAAGAATGTATATACTTTGTGGTGTCTAAAATATATATTTCGGGGTGTTACAAACGGAATGACAAACGTAATATACGCACCATACTATGGTGGAGGGTATAAAAATAAAATAATTGATTGAAAAAATACATTGAAAATATGTTTTTTTTTTTAATTTCACAGATTTTTTCTCAAAAAAATTCTTAAAAAATCAAGATTTTAAATTTCCACGGATATTCCTTTGAAAATACATTGAAATATTTTTTTTAATTCACAGATGTTTTCTCAAAAAATTCTTAAAAATACTAGATTATAGCCTTCCTGATCCTTTAAAGATTTCCTTGAAAAATAGTCGTTTATAGCTAATAAAATACTCGACTATACTCGAAATCATAAACACATCATTATTGCCATATTAGTCCTTAAATAAATTCCTTAAAAATGGGTTGCACTCCAAAAAAAACATTCTTGAAAACCAAAAAAAAAAAAAAAAAATAAATAAATAAAAAAAATTAAATCTATGATTATTGCTCTTCTGGTTCTTGAAAAATTCCTACCCGAACTTTCTTAAAAAAAATACACGCCTACTGCTTTTTTCATCCTTCTATGAAAATTAAAAAAATAAAACCTCCTCAAAAAATTTCTTTCAGAAAATTAGGAAATCTACGGTCGAAAAATCAAATCAGTTCAAAAAATCCAGGGATATACCTTTGAAAGTCCGATGAAATATATTCCTAAAATCTTAGTCCTTCAATAAAAACCTCGAAAAAATATTCTCATAAGTACACAGATGTACCTCTATTAAAATTATATATACGATTATTGCCATCTTAGTCCTTTAATATAATCCTTAAAAATTTGTTCTTCCTCCGAAAAGACTTTTAATAACAGTACTCTCTGGTCTTCCAAAAAAAAGATTTTTTTTAAATCCACGATTGTTAATTTTGTCCTTCAATTAAATCCATGAAAAAAATTCTTAGGGCCCGGCGATGGGGGTCTCAAAATAATCCCTGAAAATATTTAGAAATATGGTTCAAAAAATCCAGGGATTTGCCTCTCTTGGGTTGAAGGCCCTTTCTTGGAAAATATACTTAAATATTTCTAATTGGTGGTTCAAAAAGTCCGCGAAAAATATATTCATCAAAAATCTTTTATTGGCCCTTTAAAAATATTCCTAAAATGTCTATGGTTGGTCCTTAAAAAGGTCTATAAAATCCAGATTAAGAGCTTGGGAAGATTCACAAAAGCACCCTTTTTTTAGAGACTTGTCGAGTTACTTTTCTCAGGTTGCAATTCCTTTTATGTCCTTTTTCCTAACCCCTTTACTAAAAATTGCATTACACATTTCGTTCTTCTTAACAATTTCCTCCGCTAACCTCCAACTAATCTTATTATTTAGCTTATTTTGTTAATACTCCCAAATCAAATGTTACTAAACCAATACTAAATACGTTACTCAATTCGTCCTTTATCCCTTTTTTTAATTGTTTGTTTGTTGTTGGCTGCCCCTCTTCTTGTTGCTTGTCCTATTTTGCAATTTTTTAATTTCTTCTTTTTACCTCTATCAACCACTTTCTTGTTGTTCTTCTTCTATTTTTTTCTTCTTATTATTATTATTATTATCCTTATTATTCTTGATTCTTCTTTTTTGTAGTTTTTGTAAGAAATCCTCCTCCTCTCGTGCATCCTTTTTGCGCAACAAACGTTTTTCCCTGCGACATTCGTTTCGATTCCATAAAACAGCCGATAATACCAATAACAACACCACAACCGACACCAACACCACCACCACTACCATCACCACCAATACCAATACCAAGAATTCCTCCTCTAATACGACATCAACAACAACCAGTCCGACATCGACAACAACCTACAACACAATTAATAATATGCAATATCAAAATTTAAATAATACCCTAATTAACGATGATAGAGATACGGCCACTGGTAGGAGGTAAGGTTTATCGTTTCGTTTCGTTTCTTTGCGTTGCCTTTCGTTTGATTTTGTTTTTATTTTGCGTTTTCTGATTTTCATTTCGATGTGCTAAGTTTTCTTTTATTTTTTTCTCGTTGTCGTTGTTGTGGAGTTTCCTTTTGATTTTTTTCTAAATGTCTTTTAATATTTTATAAAAAATTTAAGAAAAAATCTTTAAAGGTGCAAGTTTGAAAGAAATCTTGAAAAGTATTCCTAAAATGTCTTTACTGGAAAGGCTAAATATCCTGAATTTTTTAAAATATTCCACGTTGGAAAACCTGATGTCCCGTAAATAAACTTTTTAATAATCAACATTAGGAAGGCTCTGGCAGTACCTAAAAAATCCACAATATCCACATTGAAAGGACTGTATTTTTGGAAACATTTCCCAAAAATTCAGGATAAGAGTTTTGTTGGTCCTTGGAAAATTTTTTTTCAAAATATATAAGTTTATGTCTCTTATTTTTCCTAAATTCAGGTCTATTTTCCAAAAACATTTTTCTTAGAAAAATTAAAAAAAATATATATTTTTTATTAAAATACAAACTGATTGATCCCTTAAAAATTGAAAAAAAAAAATCTTTAAATATGTCAGAAAAATCCTGAGAAAAGGCTTTAAAAATAACCGTTAGTAGTGGTCTGGCAGTCCTTAAAAATGGTCCTAAATATGTACTTGGGAAGAGCTGTAGTTTTGAAAAATCCGCACAAATCAAAGTTAGGTTTTTTTTTTTTAAAGTAATCAAAATATACAATTATATGCCTCTATTGGACCTGACTGAGATGATAGTCCCTGAAAAATAATTTCTAAAAATTACTAAATTTTTATTGACTCTTGAAAAATATTTTGGTTGAAATAAAATATTCCTGGTAGTCGCAAAGAATATATTCCAAATTCCATGGGGGTAACTAGAATTTTTCTAAATAAATTTTTATTGACTCTTGAAAAATATTTTGGTTGAAATAAAATATTCCTCGTCTGGTAGTCGCTAAGAATATATTCCAAATTCCATGGCGGTAACTAGAATTTTTCTTTTTAATTTACATCAGGTGGTTCCTAAATAACATTAAAAAATCCATATCTGGAGGTCCTTCCAGTCTGAAGTCCCTTAAAAATACTTTGGAAGTTCAAGCCTGAATATTCTTGAAAAATTTATATATATATTTTTAAAATTCAAATTAGAATTGGAAGAGCTAATAGTCCTCAAAAAAGTCTTCAAAAATTCCTGTCATAGTGATTTGACAGTCCTTAAAAATAGTCCTAAATATTTATGTTGGTAAAGCTGGAAAAACAACAATTTTTTTATCCTTCTATTGGACATGACTCTGATGATGGTCCTTGAAAAATAATTTCTAGAAATGGCTAAGTTTTTATTGGTCCAGGAAAAATATTTTTATTAAAAAAAAAAACTAGCCCCTAAAAATATTTTTTCAAACCCACGGTGGTCACTAAAAATTTTGTATTAATTCCCATCAGGTGGTCCTAAAAAAACATTAAAAAATCCTTATCTATATGGAGTGGCTTCAAATCTGTAGTCTCTGTAAAATACTCTTTAGAAATCCAAGACTGGAATTTCTTGAAAAAAAAAAAAAAAAAAAAAAAAAAAAAAAAACAATTTTTTACAACTCAAATTAGTTGATATTTTAAAAAATATTGAAAAACAAAATTAAAAAATATAAAGATTCTTGGAAAAAAAAATTTTTAATTCTCTTGAAAAAATCCTTTTGCCATTTAAAGCAATATTTAAATAAAATATCACATCTGATGGACCCTGAAAAAAAAACTATTTTTTATACTCTCAGAGGATTATATCATTCGATACGAACAAAACGTGCCTCATAGAAATAGTGGTCTCTTTGAGCCAAATCCGTTTTAGGATTTGGAGTCAATCTAAGGGTGTTCGTCTGGCTGGTGTATGAGTGCTAGAAAATATGCGAGAATGAACAATATCCATTGAGTACCTTCCCCACAAAGGGTACAAATTTTGAATCATTCTAACCCTTACAAAATGTGAAATAAGAGACAGATTGTTTTCAAATTTCGCACATCTGATGGGATATATCGGACCACTCCTTCTGGTACCTCACCCACAACCGGTCAACATTTTGAATAGTTATGACTCTCATAAAATCCGAAATAAGCTTCAGATTCTCTTCAAATTTCACACATCCGAATATTTACAGGTCAAAAATTTTGAATATTTATAACCCTAATAAAGTGCGAAATAAGCATCCGATTCGCTTCAAATTCATACATTCCAATATTTTCACTAACACAAGATCTGGTGCGAAGTTGGAATATATCAGACAATTTCCTATTTCTATCAACGCAAATTCTGGTGTAAAGATGGCAGGCATCAGACCACTTTTTCTAGTAACTCCCCCACAGAGGAGTCAAAATTTTGAATTATTTTATCTTTAATGTGGAGCTGGTAGAAATCGGTCCACTTAATTTTGTACCTCCCCCACAAAGGGTTAATACCCTTATCTCCCATAACTTTCAAAACAACTAAGCGATTATGTGTATCTTCATATTTCTCTCGATCAGAGATTTTATGTCAATATAACCCCCCATGAAGGGTCAACAGTTGGAAAAGTGATATCGCAAGTCATTATATAAAGGGTCAAAAGTGTCAAGATCAAAAATGTATTTCAATAGATGAACAAAGCCTGATGGTATAAATCTGTCAGCTAAACCGACTAATACTTTTTAATTTTTAATCCAAGTCGGTTGAAAAAAAATATATTTTTTTTCAAAAAATACACCTTTGTTGACCCTGGAAAATACTTTAATTTTTTTCCAAGTCTGTTAATACTCAATTTATTTAAAAAAAAAAAAAACACGTCGATTGATCCTAGAAATTTTTTTCGATTTATCTGTTGATCCTGGGAAATATTTATTTTTTTTAAGAAATCCACGTCTGTTATTCTAGAAAAATATTTTCCTATCTTTTAAAAAACCTTGTCTGTTTATCATCAAAAAAATATATTTATGTTTTTTTTTTCAAAAAATCTGTTGATTCTGCAAAAAATATTTAATTTTTTTTTTCAAAAATCAACATCTGTCGATCCTTGAAAAATATTTTATTTTTTTTTATCAAAAAAATCCACGTGTGTTGATCTGAGAAAATTATTTTAATTTTTTTTTTTTCAAAATATCCACGTCTGTTGATTTTGGAAATTATGGACAAATATTTTCCTTTCTTGTCGAAAAATCCACGTCTGTTGATCCTGGAAAAATATTTTCATTTTTTTCCAAGTCTGTTGAGCCTTAATTCAATTTATTTTTTTTTAATTTACTTTTTTGCTTGATCCTGGAAAAATGTTTTAGATTTTTTTATAAATCCACGACTGTTGTTCCTTTATAATTATTTTATTTTTTTTTTTTTTTTCAATAAATCCACGTCCTTCGATAATGGAAAATATTTTCATTTTTGCTTTCAAAAAATTGTACGTCTGTTGGTCCTGGATAATATTTTCATTTATTTTTTAAATACACGTCTATTGATCATGGAAAAATATTTTCAATTTTTTTTCAAAAAATCTTTTGATCCTCAAATTTTTTTGACGTGGATTTAGTTTGCGGGGAAATATTTTTAATTTATTTTTTCAAGCAATCCATGTCTTTTAAAAATCATTTTTAAAAAAAACCTAAGCCTTTTGATTATTTCTGATTACTCTTAAACATATTTTTAAAAAATATCGTCTGTTGATCCTTACAAACAATTTTTAAAAATTCCATGTCAAGTTATTTTTGAAGAATTTTTTTTTTAACAAAGGTTTAAGTTTTCAAAAAAGTTTTTTTTTTTTAACAACCCATGTCGGGTGATATTAGTCCTTGAAAAAAATATGTTCTTAAATTTACATCTGTTGTCCTTTACAATTGTATTATTTTAATCCATGTGTGTTTGACCCCTGACCCACCAGGAAAAAGGTCCCATTTGTCTTATTTATTTTTTTTAATTATCTTTTTATTTTAAATGTCAAAACTTTGACTTTGAGAAGGTAGTGCTTCTCCATCTTATCAATATAAATTCCTGACTCATTCCTTGAAAAATTTTACAAAAAATTTCCATTCTTTGTTTTCTGCTTTTATTTTCCAGATATCAACAGAATCCTGAAGCTTGTGTTGCTGTGCACTGTGTCGCTGGTCTCGGCCGTGCACCCGTCTTGGTGGCATTGGCACTCATCGAATTGGGTCTGAAATATGAGGCAGCTGTAGAAATGATAAGGGAGTAAGTACAACATTTATATTTTTAAATCGTCTTTGTATCCGTACTAATGTTCTCCATCTTTTTTTTAGCAAGCGACGAGGAGCCATCAATGCCAAACAGTTATCGTATTTGGAACGCTACAAGCCCAAGGCAAGGCTAAAGCACAAAAATGGCCATAAAAATTCATGTTGCGTGCAATAGATTTCCAAAATAATAAGAAAAGAAAAAAAAAACAAATAATAAAACAAAATAACCATATATTAAAAAAAATAAATTCCCACCAGTTGAAAAGTGTTCATTTTTTTAATTTAAAACAAAAAAACAACTACAACCACAACAACAACAAGAAGAAGAGAAAAACAATTTGAAAAGACTACTCCACTGATGCTGCTGCGAATATCCCATGGCTGGCTGGCTGGCTGGCAACCAGGAAAAAAAAGCTACACCACAACGGCAATAATTGAACAACACTTGAAGCAGGCAACAGGAAGATTGAACCACAACAATAACAAAAACAGACAATTGAAGCCACATTCTCTCTCTCCGTCTACCCCCACATCTTCCCCTTAACACAAGGATATTGAAATTGATGATGTTAACTAGCTAAGCAAACTTGCTGCTGCTGCTGTTCTCAACACGGCGGCAATGGATATGATGATTGCAGCAATTTAGAACTGTAATATGACCATGTGAATGATTGGAAAACCCATAGACTTCTTGTTCGTCCCCCAGAGCCCCCATTCTCCTTCTCTCTTCTCTTCAGCTAAAATTTACAAATCGACAACAAGTTTTGATATATGCGTCCAAGAAAAACAATTGGCATTTGTTAGTTTGGTTTTCGTTTCCCAACAATCAACATAATTCTCCAAAACTTCCCCCCGCTCTCCCCCAACTGACCTTTGAAAATGAATGACTACTTTATAAAAGGACAACAGCATTAAAGGCAATATACGTAAACAAAGAAAAAAACAGAAAACAAATTTTTTTTAAAACATTTCGCCGTAGTTCTATTTTTGTTTTGTTTTGAAACTTTTCTAACCGGGATCCCCCCAATTTTTTGTATCGAGAAACAGCTCCAAATCCCCACCATGTCTGTCTGTCCACACTCATCTCAGCTGACAGTGGGACAAAAAAAGAAATAAAAAAACACAACACTCCCCCCTCTCAAACCACCCCAACAATTCTATGCAATGTGAATGAAAAATATATGCTAATAATTTCGATATTTTTTTTAGTAATTATAAATATATATTTTTAATTGAAGAAAAAAAAATATGAAAAATATGAAACAACAAAAAACACTTAAATGTCTAGTTTTTAATTAATTTTATTCTTTTTTTGTTAAATGATTTTTTTAATTTTATTTTTTTTTTAAATATTTTATTTGCAAAACATAGTTAATGATAATCAATTTTTTTTTGAATGATGATAATCATGATAATGATGATAATTGATAATAAGTTAATATCCATACAGTATAAACAAAAAACAACAAAAAAAAACAACAACAACAAACAACAACAAGAAAAAAAAACAATAAAAATTTTAAAATAATATTTTGCTACAATCATTCTGAATCTCTTTAGGTAGATTTTTCTTTTTTTCCATAGGGATTTTCCAATTATCGGGAGGAAAAATTTAAATAATATTGAATGGTCCAAAAATGTCTTGAACATTATTTCCAGAATACTTGAATTTTAAAATTTATTTGAAAATATTATAAATTAATTTAAGTAGGGAATGGGAAGTGTTAAGATATTTGGTTTTTGTTTAAATGTTTATTGTTCTGTCACTCAAATCGGAGCTTTTTAGAACAAGTTGTACGGGCTCTACGGATTGCTGGCTTCATAGCGGTGTATTAAACCGGCCAAGTTGGGGGCTTATCTTATTTCAATTGCATGGGAATTACTTTCTAAATATTTAATTCTTAGAATTTATTAGAAAAAAGAAATTGAAAGTTATGTAGCAAGAGGATGCATACATTTTGGTTTTATTTAAACATAAGGACTGTTGAATATTTTGGAGCTTCAATCGGCGAGGTTTACTGGCTTCTATTTATGTGTTTTGCACCAGCCAATTATGGATCTCTCATTTACCTTGTAAGGGGTCTATGATCTCTCAACATTTTTTATACCCTACACCACAAGGTGGTCAGGGTTTTATGTCTTTGTGCATTTGTTTGTTACAGGCAAAAGGAAACAAGGTAGAACCATAGTTCCTTTTGATAACCTGTAATGTATCACATTCTGAGTCGATTTATGCATGTCCGTCCGTCTGTACGTCCGTCCGTTCGTCTGTCCATGTATTTTTGTAAACAAAGTACAGTTCGCATTTTTGTCCTTTCCAGATGAAATTTTCCAAACAGCATTTGTTTGGCCCAAGGACGAACCCTATTGAAATTGGAGATAATCGGTCAAAATTTAGATATAGCGCCCATATATATCTTCGTCCTATTTGCATTTTATTGTGCACCAAACGTCTAATATCAGCCCGAATAGTATGGAATTTTGCACATACAACCAAATTAGGCCTGAAAACAAGTATGGCAAATTTGATCGAAATCGTTTCAGATATAGCTATAGCTCCCATATATAATGTTCATCCGATTTGTTATTTTTGTCCTCTGCAGCCGTAATATGCACTCTGTAAGAACAATATTTGGGGAAATATATCAAATACTGCTCAGAAATATCATTGCCAAATTTCATCGAGATCGGTTCAAATATAGCTATAGCTCCCACATATAACTTCGACCGATTTACCTTTTATTGTGCACCAAACGTCTAATATTTGTCCAAATGGGATGGAATTTGGCACTTACTTATAGCTCCCATATATACTGTTCAGCCGATTTGTTATATTTGCTACCCACAGCCGTAATATACACTCTGTAACAACGATATTCAGGGAAATATATCAAATTGTTCTGAATGTAGGGAGTTTCAAATAAAAGGAGGAAAATACTAGAAAATTCAAATAATTATGTAATAATGTTTCCTGAATATTTAAAGCTGGACATTGTTTTGAAATAAATAAAGGGAACGAAAAGTGGTATATTATTTGTTTATAATAAATGCTTAATTTTTTGGAACATAAGGCGAGGGCAGCGTAGATTGGAGGAGTGATAGAGGAGTGATAGATTAACAGGCCTTAGGGCTTGCTGGCATTTTTTTCAAATTTTCGCCTGAAAAATATCCACCTTGTCAAAACCCCGAATGACTCTCTAAAACATAAATACCATCATACCAGACAATTAATATTGTTGAGCCAATATTAAACTTAACAGACAGCCAGCCAGCCGAGTTGGAATTTAATGCTGATTAAGAATGGGAAATTTATTGAGACTCTGATGAATATTTTGTGGTGTTAGATGACGAAATGACAATCTCGCAGTAGAGAATATAAATTGGTGTGGTATTCAACTCATAAGTTCAACAATTTTTTTTTATCGGATATAAATATTAGTCTGTATCAGAACTGAAAGTATGTAAAAATTTTCACTACGATAATCGACTTTCCCTTTAGATATCAAAAAAATTACAAAACTAGTAGATTCTTGCAGGTTCTGGAACAGACCAATTGTTGGCATTTTATTCGTATTTTTAATACATTTGAAATATCATTTCGGTCTTCCTCCCAAAAGCGGCAAACTTTTGATTTGATAAATTTGCTAGTATTATATTTCATTAATTATCAACGGATTTTCCAATATTGTGTTAGTCTGTTCCACAAGAGAATTCATTTACCAACAGTTTCTACTCCACATTACGAAAAAAGGGTAAAATTGGAATAGGGAAATCTGAGCAATAAACATATGATTAATTGGATTCTGAATCGCAACCTGGTTTAGCTTTCCATTCTTAGTTAGAAATTATCGGCAGAGTTGATATAACTTTAGAAAAATGTTTTTGAATGGATTTAGAGAAATGTAGTATTTACTTTTGGAATCCCAAATCCAAAGGTCCTCATTTTTTGATTTATTTTTTAAAATTGTGTTTTTTTGGAGATGTTTTTATGTCCTACAAGACAATTTGATTCTAAATTAATTCTTCATGATGAAAGGTAAGGTCCGACCAATTTGGGAGGTAAGTATAAAAGCGCCAACTGAAAAAATGGGTTTTTGTTGAAAATCGAGTTTAGCTTCGGCTGCTTGGCACGTACTACCGTCCTGTTAAAATCAAATGTCAATATCCTACTCTTCAATGTTTGTAAACGAAAATTCGTTCAACTTGCCCCGTCAAAGTAATGACCAGTCTTGTTCATTTTGTGAAAAAATTGTTTCAATTACGCCTCTGGCCAAAAATACAGTGCGAGTTTTCCGTGCCCCAAATCCGGCAATCTTGATTGTTTAAATACGGAGCTGACGGTGCTTCTCTTCTTCTAAAATCCGTACGCAATTTCCGCAAACATTCTGCTACATTACCTTAATTTCCAGCTTTATCCAAGCGTATACACAACCACATAATTGTGCGCCATATTTGTAATATTATCTCAAATGGGGTGGATTTTGGCACATACGACTGAATTCAGCTTAGAAGCATATCTGTAGTGAAAATCGTTTCAGATTTGAATATAGCCAGCCCCCACATAAATGTTTCGACAAATTTTGTCGAAATTGATCAAACTTTGGATATAGTTATCTTATTTATCTCCGCAAAATATGCACCAAAATTTAATGGATTTTGGCACCTGCGAATTAATTCATCTTAGAATCAAGTATGTATGTATGTATATAGCGGCTATACCGGTTTACTTGTATTGTGCCCCAATGAGTAAGAATCGCATTGAGCTTGAGGCAAGTATGTCAAATTTGGTGAAAATCGGTTTTATCTGATTTGACTTTTAAGTCCATCGAACTCGTAATATATACTCTATAACAATGATATACATACAGCATATCAGATACGACCTAGAAATACCTTTGCCAAATTTTGTCTTAATCGGTATATCAGATTTTGATATAGCTCCTAGTTATATGTTTTTTTCCGATTCGATAATGAAAACAATATAACAATGATATGCGGTACACGATATCAAATGCAGCCAAGGAATAGCCTTGGAAAGATCCCGATTTAATATTTCAGTCTTCTCAAAGTCGACGAAAAATAAAAAAAATACTGCTCCCTAAAATTTAGTGAAAACAGATTCAGATTTTGATATAACAACTGATATAATTTATTTCACAAAAACTCTCAATATGGGCGTATTTTAATTACGGATAGCTCTGCTTAAAATGATTGGTGGAGTAGGTATAATAAAGTCAGGCCCACCCGACTTTGAGTTGATAGGCAAGCTATATGCATCTCTTTTTCGAACTCTAGGTGAATGTAAATTTAAATATATATTTTCAAATTTTTAGAATCCCTCATGGTGAAGGCTATCGATGGTTTGGGCCCGCCGAGGTAAATGTCTTTTTTGCTTGTTTCTGATAGCTTTTAAAAAATATCTTAAAAATTTTCCTTTTTACAATTTTTTCTATAAAGTGTCTGATATTTGCGAAAATGTGGAACTTGAAAGATAACTTAAAAAAATAAAATAGAATTGAAGGAAAGCAGGACAGCAACAACAAAAAATACTAAACATAACACAATTAAACAATTTAGAAATGATTTTATTTATTTTTAATTAAACAAATCAACTGGTTTTTATGGAAAATTATAGAAAAACAATAAACCATGTTTTCATAAAGAAAATAATACAAAATAAAAATCACACATTCTTCCTCATATTCACAATGTTTATCATTCATGCTCTCTTCTCTCTCTCCCTTTCTCTACAATTTTTGCTATAAATTTTACATTGCAATTTCGCTCCCAAAATCCCCCATTGGTCTCATTCATTCATTCATTCAATTCCTCTCTCACTCTCATTTCGGTTAGTTTGTAAAATGATGTATTGAAAAATCACCAAAAAAAAAAAAGATTTTTTTTATTATTAACAAATAAGTGACAAATACATTTACATAACCTAAATTAAACAAAAAAGAAAAATAAACTGACAACAAGAACAACAACAACCAATGTATGAATAAATAAAACAAAAAAAAATATTACAAGTAAATATGTATGAAATAATTTACAAAAAAAAAAAAAAAAACAAAAAATACTAGGAATGCAACTCTCAAAGAAAAAAATTAAGACCAGTTTTTGGGG